GCGCCGCCCGAACCTAGCCGCGCCGCCCTTCCCGAGCCGCGCCGCCCTACCTGAACCGAGCCGCGCTGCCCGTACTGGACCGAGCCGCCCTACCTGAGTCGCACTGCCTACTGTTTTTGGGGTGCCCCTACTGCTATTACTTCTACTACTGCTATGGCTAGCCCTCCTGTGCTGGCTTTCGATGCTGAGGGCCGCCCAGTGAAGTTCGAAACCTGGCTAGATGACCTACACCTCTTCCTACAGCTCACTGCCAAGGAGGACATCTCACTGTACGATCACGCCCTAGGCCATGCTCCTGCTCCTGCTGCTACTGCTGACAGCACTGCCCGCTCACAGTGGCAGACTCGTGACGCCCATGCTCGCTTCGCTATTCGCAACTCCCTGCCGATAGATGAGCGCGAGCACTTTGGGCAGCACAAGACTGCACAGGCACTGTACACTGCTGTCGTTGCCCGCTACTCCTCACCGGCCTCTGCCGCACTAGGCCGTCTCTCTCTTCACTACCTGTTCCCCGACTTAGCCTCTTTCCACACAGTCGCTGACCTCATTACGCACCTCCGCACTAGTGAGGCTCGCATCCGCGCCGCCATGCCTGATGAGTTCCTTGCCAAGAACCCACCCCCACTCTGGCTCACTCTCTACCACCTAGTCACCCGCCTCCCTGACACTCTGCGCTCAGTCAGGGACCACTTCCTAGCTCGCTGCCCCACTGAGCTCACCATTGCCCTCCTTGAGAAGGAACTCCTTGCAGCTGAGGCTAGCATAGTCGCTGTAGGTGCCTCTCGTGGCGACCCTTGTACCCCGTTCTTTGAGGGGTGTTCTCCTTCCCCCCTTCTTCCCTCTGTCGCCTCTGCTGCTGCTGTCGACCTCCTTGGTGCTGAGAAGGTCGGGACTGCGTCTGCTTCGAGCGGGCGCCGCAGCGGCAAGGGCAAAGGGGGCAAGGGCGGTGGCGGTGACAGCGGGGGAGGCGGTGGTGGGGGCGGTGGCGGCGGTGGGGGTGGTGGCGCGACTGGAGGGGCTAGTGGCAGCGGTGGGGGTGGTGGCGGCAGCGGCGGGGGAGGTGGCAGGGGCGGAGGCGGTGGTGGGGGTGGCGGTGGACGCGGCGGCGGCAGGGGTTGGGGTGGTTGAAGAGGTGGCGGCGGCGGTGGTGGTCGTGGAGGCGCTGGCGGTGGCCAGGGCCAGCAGCACACTCCGTCGCCCCAGGAGGTCCGTGAGTGGTACTCTCAGCACGGGGGGGGGGGGGGGGGGGTGGCTTTAGCTGCACGTACGTCATTCGCACTGGTGACCGCACTGGTCAGCCGTGTGGGGGACCGCACGCCACACAGCGCTGCTTCACTCATCTCAACGACGCTTGGCGTATTCAATTCCCTCAGGCCACTGAGCTGCCCCGCTGGATTGATCTCCTGAAGAAGGGGATTGATATCTATGCTCTAGACTTTGATGCTATTCTCACTGCTATGTATGTAATGTCTACTAGTGGAGAGGGTGCTGAGTACCTGTGTGTGCCGCCCGACACGGGCATTAGGACTAGTGCGTCTGCCGCTCCAGGTACTCGCGTGTTTGCTACCCCAAGTGCTGGTGAGGGAGCTGCTCTAGGTGCTTGTGCGTCTACCCCCCCTGGTACTGAGTCGACGGCAGCACTGCACACCTTCACACTGGACTCAGGTGCTTCTCGCTGCTTCTTTCGTGACCGCACTGCCCTTGAGCCGCTTGCTCGGCCAGTTGCTGTCTCCCTCGCTGACCCCTCTGGGGGTCCGGTCATTGCGACCTCCTCCACTGTCCTTCCCTGTCCTGCAGTCCCGTCGGGCACACTGTCAGGTCTCCACCTCCCCTCGTTCTCTACGAGCTTGGTGGCAGGTAGTGCACTCCAGGACGGGGGTGTTCACCAGTTCACCCCTGCCTACGAGCGCGTGACACACTGCACGTGTGCTCGTACGGGCCGCCACTTGGCTACCTTCACTCGGCAGCCGGGGTCGGACCTGTACACACTGACCACTGAGTCCCCTCAGGTCGCTGCGTTTGCGTCTGCGTCTGCGTCAGGTCAGCTGTCTGCCCCCTGCTTGTGTCGCTCTCTGGCGCACGAGACGGTCCTCTGGCACCACCAACTTGGCCACCCGTCTGTGCAGCGCCTTCGTGCCATGCACTCCCGGTACCTTGTCTCCGGTCTTCCCAGAGTCCTTCCACCTTGTCCTATCACGAGTCTGCCACTGTGAGCGGGCAGTGCTGTCAGCAGTAGTAGCAGGGGCAGTGACATGGCCTAGGGCGTGGTCGTACAGTGAGATGTCGTCCTTGGCTGTGAGCTGTAGATAGAGGTGCAGGTCGTCTAGCCAGGTGTCAAACTTCACTGGGCGGCCCTCAGCATCGAAAACTAGCGCCTGTGGGCTAGCCATAGGAGTAGTAGGAGTAGCAGTAGGAGTAGGAGGATGAAGCAGGTAGGGCGGCTCGGTTTAGGTAGGGCGGCGCGGCTCGGGTGGGGCGGCGCGGTTCGGTTCGGGTCGCGCGGCTCGGCTCGGGTCGCGCGGCTCGGCTCGGGTCGCGCTGCTCGGTTCGGTCATGGGCGGCTCGGTTCGGTCCTGGGCTGTGGCGGTCACGGGCCGTTCGGGGCCTCTAGGTGCGGTGAGTACGGGGCCGACGGGGCCGTTTGGGGCCTCTAGGGAGGTGAGCGCGGGGCCGTAAAGGGGCCTCTAGGGGCCGACGGGGCCGTTCCGGGCCTCTAGGGGCCGACGGGGCCGTTCGGGGCCTCTAGGGAGGTGAGCGCGGGGCCGACGGGGCCATAAGGGGCCTCTAGGGAGGTGAGCGCGGGGCCGACGGGGCCTTCGGGGCCTCTAGGGAGGTGAGCGCGGGGCCGACGGGGCCGTTAGGGGCGATCGCGGGGCCGACAGGGGCCGCTAGGGGCGAGCGCGTGGGCCGTTCGGGGCCTTAAGGGGCGGGTCGCGGGTCGCTAAGGGGCGGGTCGCGGGTCGCGGGGCCTTAGAGGGCCGTGAAAACCGAGGCGCCCTAGGGCGCAGGTAGGTAGGTAGGTAGGTAGGTAGTGGTGGGCCCTAAAAAAAATCGGTCCTAGGAAGGACCTGCTCTATACCATGTTGAAATGAATGAACAGGAATGAATGAACTACTAGTGAAAACAGTACAAGTACCTAACCCTAGAATTGTGTACCCCCTATAGGCTAACCCACTGTAGCCTAAACAAGCAGAACATATATAATGTTTGACAAGTGGACGTTGTGATCCACGTGGAGCAGCCGCACATATATGGCGAAGGGGGCTCGCGTGTTTGTCAGCTGCGGAAATCCCTTTACGGGATTAAACAGACGCCGAGGCTCTGGCAGCAGTACCTGCACAACATCCTGCTTGAAATTGGGTTCAAGCAGTTGCCTCATGACCCCGGGATGTTCGTGGCGAATACATCTTACTCACGCTCTACGTCGGTGGCCTTCTCTACACAGGGTCATGCAACCAGCTACTCGAGCAGTTCGAGAAGAACCTCGCGAGGCGCATCAACATTAGCTGCAACCACGACGTGAAGCAGTTCCTCGGCCTCAACATCACTTACTCGCCAGAAGCCATTCATCTCTCAGCAGCCAAATATGCAGAGGAACTTGGCAAGCATTTCAACATCGCACCTGCACCGCTCTTCACCCCTTACCGCACTTCGGGACCCAACTACAAGCCTGACAACAAAGCCCTATCCCCTGCTGGGCGTCAGACTTATCAGCAACAGCTGGGTTGCCTCTGTCACCTTTGTCACCTGCAGGCCTGACCCCTCGTACATCGCGAGCCAACTGGCTCAGTACTCACGCAAACCAACGGCCAAAAATCTCTCAGATCTCCAGCGAGCACTCCAATTCTTCATCTCCATGCCCAATGTTGGGCTCTGCTACTCCACCATCCCAACAGCCTCCTTCAACCTCATCAGCTACGTGGACGCTGATCATGCCGCCGATCCCGACAATCGACGGTCCAGGACAGGCTTCCTCTTCCGCCTTGAGCCCAGCGGCCCCATCTCCTGGAATTCACAGAAGCATCAGCTGGTTGCCCTGTCATCAGCAGAAGCAGAGTTCATCGCAGCAATAGCAGCTGTTCGCGAGGGCCTCTATCTTCAGAAGCTCCTGCAAGAGGAAAAAATTCCAGCCTCGGCGAACTTCCGCCTGCACTGCGATAACCAGAGCGCGATCAGAATCGCGAACAAACCTGGATTCGTCAACCGCACAAAGCACATCGCGCTGCGGTACTTCTTCGTCGGGACGAAGTTGACAGGGGCAAGGTTGACCTGACCTACTGCCCAACGTGTGACATGGCAGCAGATTTCCTCACGAAGAAACTGCCGCGTCAGCAGTACCAGCACTGCTCCGAACTCAACGGAGTAGTCAAGCGGGTCAAGACCTGCTACGACCAGGAGTGAAGGTGGGTGTTACGAATAGTAATTATTGAAACATTGCTGTGCACTCCTCACCGTAGCACGCGAAACACACACTACCGAGGCTGAAGACGAAAGGGCGGAAATGACACGAAGGGTCAGACAGTTACGAGAGCATCTGGACCGTCGGGCAGGCAGCATCAGGCAGCAGCAGCGGCGAGGATTCTGCCCGAACAGTTTCGTAACTGTCCGGAGTCGCACGGTTGGAATTCGCTGTAATAAGGGAATGCACCCCTTAGAGTACATGGCTAGCTAGGTCGATTGATATTCCCCTGTACTCTTATTTATTGTGCTCTACATGCATGTTTTTATAATCTCAAGCATTTACATTCACTCTGCTATTGAGGCCAAGGGCCCACCACCACAAATTACTAGTGTGCGATCCTTCCCGAGGTGATCCTAGGCAAGATCAACTTCTGATCGCAATAGTTTCCAGTAATATTACCAGTATATAAGTATGGGTGGATAAAGAAACAACTTTGGAGATAGGATGTATGCAAATAGACATCAAGGCTCAGGAAGTTGATATAGTAATATTTGATCCCAATAGAAGTTTTCAGCATCAGTCTTGCATTCTTGCAATCATGGGAGGACTTATTATAGGTACCTATGTTGGTAGTGGTTTGACACTACGCAAGAGGGAGTATGTGCAAAAAGCGTAGCCAATCTCGTTGAGGCAATGGATATCGGAGCACCACACGCGTTTTCACTACCACCAGCTTCCGCTGTTTTTCCAAGCCCAGCATTTGTGGCTTCCTGCTCTTTCCGTTTCACCCGCGCTCCACGTGCGCCAGGCAGCATGGCCGTTTGGGTGTTTGGCTACGGTTCACTAGTATGGCGACCGGGTTTCGCATTCTCTGCGCGGGTGCCGGGACACATTCGCGGCTACCGACGCGTCTTCTACCAAGGTTCTGGTGGCCTCTTCCTTTCGCGCCAGTCTTTTTTTTTTCGCTCATCTTCTCGAACCCAATCGTTGAGCTCGCACGCCATGAGACATGTTTCAAACCGGGTGAGGAATAGCTTAGCGACATGCCAGCAGGGTAGCTGACGTGGCTGATATGGCTGACGTGGCAGGCAACACGGACCACAGAGGCACGCCGGAGAAGCCGGGGAGGACAGTGACGCTGGTAGAGGAGCAAGACGCCGTTACTGTGAGATTTGCGAGTGCTGACGGTGAGGGGGAGGAGGCGAGGGGGAGTAGACGAGGCATGGCATGGAGAGTAGCTCAATTCCTGCTAGAATGCAAGGATGATGCTGCCATGTGCGCTAATGACGCGTTGCAGCTTCGTCCTAGGTCTCTTTATTGTTTGTTCTTTGTTCCTAGATTTGCAAGGAAGTCTCATTATGTGGCAGTTGCCTCACCTTCCGTCGTTGTCCTTGGAATGCATGGATGCTGCACACATACATGAATGCATGCGTATGCACACATTTACAGTATGGCGTTGCGTATCGCCTCGCAGGGAAGGAGCAAGAGCAGCACGAGATTCTCCAGGTTATTTTGCCCTCACCCCTTACCAAGCGCACTCCTTGCCTTGCCTGTCCGTTGAGGCCATTCTGAAAGCGCCTCTTCATCCTCTCCTTCCTGTCAGCACCGCCCTCTCCCGATCGCTCTTCCTTTTGCTCCACTCATCTCTTACTTCTCCCTCCTCTCTCCTTGTGTTCGGCGTGCGTCCTCTGCATGCACGTGTGTGTGCCATGCCATGTATGTATGTGCACCAGTATCTGAGGCACCGGGAGAAGGAGTATGACCAGCAGGTCGACATTGACTTCCATGCGGTCAGCCATGCCCATGGGGTGCACTGTGTGGGGTGCAGGGTCGGATGCGGGGTGAGCACCTGTTTTTTCATGCACATGGGTGCTTCCTCCGAGTGTGTGCCCCACATACCACCACTCTGCACTTTACGATACCCTCGTTCTTCCTCGCAGCATCCACACTAACCCGCATTCATCCATTTTACACTTTAACGAAATTTTGCCCTCTCCCTGCGTCCAACACAATTGGCTAGTGCAGGAGCCATCAGGCGGCCACCCTCCTGTCATTCAAGTCCTGGTGTAAGCTTTCTCACATTAAATGCATTGTCCTGCCTGGCTCTGCCCTGTCATGCACTTCCCTGCCCTGCACGTGCTGACACCATCTCATTGCAACACACACCCAGGCCACCTTCATCACCCATTTTTCCACTCCTCTTCCTCCCTCCCTCCCCCCTGTGCGTCCGGCCACCCATGCCCGCCATGTGCCGCCGCCACTCGCCTCCCCGATCCAGCTTCATTGCCTCGGACAACCCGGTCTCCAACCCCTACTATCTCGGCCCAGCTCCCCTTGAAGACATGGCATGGTAGGTGAAATTCATATCAAGTGTCCCGCAATTTGCCCTTGTCCATATCCACCTGTTGGTGTCTGCACTCCTACCGCCCCTCTCTCTCCCCTTCACTCCCCTCACCTGGTTTCCTTTGTGTCCTCCCCTCCCACCTCCTCGCCCTCCTCCCACCTCCCTCCCCTCCCCACCTCCCCCTCTCCCCCCGTCATCCCGGCTGTGATGCAGGCAGATAGCAACAGCGCGGGGGCCGTCGGGACCCAATGCAGAGTACCTGTTGAACCTACACAAGGCGCTCAGCGACCTGGGTACGTGCGTGTGTGCTCTTCACCCGTGCTGGCTCTGCACGGCCTTTCAGGGTTAACCACTCTTTGCTGCATGCACTTGCAGGAGTGCTATAGGTCCCGTGTTTCTACGATTGCTTGCTTCCACTATGTGCTTGTAGAATTTTGTGTCCAGATGCTCATGCCCTCCCCCTTTTCTCCCTCCCACCATCCCCCATGGTGATTCCAGGTGCATGCGACCCCCATGTGGACGCCCTGGCAGCACTCGTATCCACCATGCTACCCCACACCACCACCACCACCATCGCCCCTGCAGGCACCACCACCACAGCGACAGCTGCCGTTGCTGCCACTATCGTTCCAACACTCGCATACAACAGCAGCAGCGGCAGTGCAGCTGGCTGTGCTGCAGTGCCGGCGTGTGTGCATCATCATGCACACACCCGAGAAGCTACAGGTGCCGCGGTTGACCAACCATGCCCATGCAGTCAGGCACAGGCGCAGGAGCAAGGGCATGCAGCAGCATTGGGACTGGTTGTGGATGCTGCTGTAGCATGTCTGGTGGGGCAGGAGGCGCTTGGAATCCAAATGGGGCTCAACCCACAATCAGTAATAAGCAGCCCATGAGAGAACATTGCTGTTTCTGTTTGTGAGTGGTGGTGCCCTTCCCCTCTAATACCTGTTGAACGAACCTGATCTGATCCCCCAAGGTTTCTGGTGTAGAAAGCATTTCAGGTGTGACACAGAACACAGCCTATGCCTGGATGGGCATGCAGCAGCAGTGGGGTTGGTACTAGTGGATGCTGCTGTTGCATGTATGGTGGGGCACGAGGTGCTTGCGCTCCAATTGGTGCTCAACCCACAAGCAGTTGCTGTCACTGCACTATCAGGCACTACTACGGTATAAACTGAACATAGGCCACGGTATCAAGTGAACAGGCTAGTTATGGTATCAAACGATGTATCTACCACCGCCACAAAGGGCATGTTCTTCGGTAACAATAAAAAACACTATCCGTATCATTAAAAATGCCTCTACAGTCATTCCTGCTAACGCCTTTGGAAGTTAATCTTCCTGACAGCGTATGCATAGCAGCAGAAGAAGACAATGGTGAGAGCGACGAGGATGAGTGCGGCATATGGCAGGAACCAGTACTGGAAGCCAAAGTAGTCGGTCAGAAAGCTCTCCACTGTCTGATTGCCTGCCACTCCGTCCACCTGTATGGGCGTCGTGATGTCACCCAGCTGCACACACAGCACGACAAGTTTTGGAAGGAGAGGGAGGGGCGGAGGGTTACGGAGGGAGGAGAGCAGGGAGAAAATGAGCACGTAGTGTGTACGAGAATGTAGGAAATAATGCACACATACACACTCCGTCTACCTGTCCTGCTATGCGAGTGTCTTTGCACACTGACTCATGCGTGCGTGCGTGCATGTGTGGTTTCTTCCTTGGGATGGACAAGGGCTCAACTGAACAGGCAAGGAGGCAACATGAGGGAAGAACATTCATGTGACTCCTTGGCACCATACCTGCGACTCAATCAAGCCGTAGAGACTGTACGAGATGGGCGTCAGCCAGTAGAACCACTGCCACCACACCGGGATTTGCTGGAAATGGCACATGGGAGGGTCGTGGTCGGGGAGGGAAAGGAGCGAAAAGGAGTGGAAGGGAGAGGGAAGCATGGGTGGGGGAGGTTAGCCATCAGCCTACACAGGTGGAGGCTGGAGATAAGGAAGTTGCAGCTGACAAATAAGGCGGATACAACGGCAGACGAGTCACTTCTGAGTGTGTCAGCACGTTGCTTTGAAATAGAGAGAAAGAAGGCAGGTGGGTGAGAGGGGAGGATAACAGTCCATCTAGCAGTGGACACTCGAGCAAAAGCAGTGTGTGCGCTCACCGGCCTGGGGACGATGAAGCCGCAGAGCAGGTTCCAGAAGGGCACGAAGAAGGAGGAGAGCAGCATGGCGAGCTGCTCGTTGGGCGTGATGGAGATGGCGAGCAGCCCGTACATCACAAAGCAGAACAGCGTGATGAACATGAAGAGGAAGTACCACCAGAACTTGGCCGCCGTCCACTCAAACTGCACCAGCGCATACGTGATGATGCAGTACAGAAACGTCTGCACGAGCACGTACGGGAGCTCAATCAGCCCCTGCGCGAACGCATACGGCAGCGCGCCGTACAGCCCTGCTGCCTTTTCTCGGTAATACACGGTGCGCTCCACGGCTACCAGCGGCTGCACGGCAGCGGAGTTGTTCCAAGCCATGAAGATAGACGTGGTGTAGAGCGCACCCATGACGTTGAATATGTCCAGCATGGTGGCCGTCTTCTTGCCAAGACCAAAGAAGACGAGGCCGATGAGGAGAGCAAAGACAGTGCAGAAGATGTAGCGCACGGCGTTGTAGTCGGGCGCGCGCCAATACATGGCGGAGCGCTTCCACAGGTTCACGTAGAACTGCGTGACTAAGGACGTGGAGTGCTCCGTGGCGAAGTGCAGGTCCTGCTGCCCGGGCGGAGGGGTCTTGAGGGACTCCACTAGCTCCTGGTTGCGCCTGGTGGGGGACGCGGCGAGAGGACGAGGAGCGGTTTGGGATGCGGGAAGGGGACAAGAGCGCAGAGCAGGCAAGCATGGTTGGAAGGCTGGGTGTTGCTGATGGATGTCATGTGGTTAGGTGATGATGAGGGAGGAGCAAGTGGGTGCGATGGAGAAATGTGAAACGGAAAAGAGTGAGATGACTGGAGCATAAGCCTACCTGAAGAGGTCCGACTTGTGGTAGAGGTCAACAAAGTCAACGCCCGTGCGCTCCGATGCTGCTGGCGTGGTGATGTCAAGCATCCACGTGGCAGGGTTGTAGCCAGTCGGGATGCGAGGCACTGACGGCACAGCCTGCAAAGAGAGCAACGGCAAGGGGAGGGGGCAGATGGAGAGTTGCATGGGTTGGAAGAGGCACAGAAGTGGGAGTGCAGAGGTGGAGGAGGGGGGGAGCGGGGAGGGCAGGGGGCTGCATCTGGCACACAGAATATCCCACAGGAAGATAGAAGGGCAACGGAAGACCTAAGGGAGTGCAGCATGAGCTGTGGCGGGCAGTGGCGGGGAGAGGAGAGGAAGGTACCTGGAAGTAGTCAATGAGGTGCTGTGAGTGCACGCCCAGAGGGCCGAAGTAGATGACCTGCCCTCCCAGCGTCATGAGCAGCAGCTGTGGGGCGAACCAGGCGGGGAGAGGCACGTGCCGATGTGGGAGTTGGTCAGGCTTCACACAACAAAACGGATGGTCGGAGGAAGCAAGTGCAGACGGAGTCAGGGGATGCCTCAGCCCGGATAGGCCGGACCCAGGAGGAGCATCATACAGGGAGTGGAGTGCGAGGGGAGGAGGGGAGGAGGAGAGCAGGCAGAGGCGAGAGGGCTTGCCTCGTCGAAGGCCTCGAAGATGTCGATGGAGGGCTGGTGGATGGTGCACAGCACCGTGCGCCCCGTGTTCACCGTGTTGCGCACCGTGCGCATCACTATGGCCGCCGCCCTCGCATCCAGCCCTGCCATGCACGTAGGGATGACGGGAAGAGGATAAGTGGGGTGGAGGTTGGGGGATGTGGAAAAAAGAGGGTAGACGTTTAAAAGTGGCACAGGGTGATTCAACATCCAAGAAAAGAGTGCCATGCGGAATGGGGAGGGGAAGCATTGGTGGAGCAAGAGAGGGGCATGGCATATCACTGGGAAGGCGTAGCAAGAGCGGCACGGCACCTGAGGTGGGTTCATCCATGAAGATGACGGAGGGGTTGGCCACGAGCTCAACGGCGATGGGCAGGTGTTACCTGAGATACATAGGCATACCTGGGGCGAGGGAACACCTACCTGAGGTGGGTTCATCCATGAAGATGATGGAGGGGTTGGCCACGAGCTCAACGGCGATGGTGAGGCGCTTCCGCTGCTCCGTGGACAGCCCGTTCACCCCCGGCAGCCCCACGATGCTGCCGCGCAGCGCCTCCAGCTCCACCAGCTCCATGACCTCCTCCACAAAGTCCTCGCGCACGTCCTTGTCCACGTCCTGGGGCAGGCGCAGCCACGCCGAGTACAGCAGGCTCTCGTACACCGTCACCTGCGGCGTGTGAATGTCGTCCTGCTCGCAATACCCCGACACGCGCGCAAACGTCTCATGCACCTTGGGGTAACCAGACACGCGCACGTCCCCCTCAATGTACCCCCCGGTCTTCCTGCCTGCCAGCACGTCCATGAGCGTTGTTTTACCCGCGCCCGACACGCCCACCAGGGCTGTCAGCACTTTGGGGCGGAAGGCGCCGGAGACGTTGCGCAGCAACTGCAGGCGGTCGCCCTCGGCGCCCTCCTCCTTCATCTCGGCAGGCATGTCCACGTAATAGTTGACGCTGCTGAAGGACAGAGACAGCGGCTCAAACGGCAGCACCATGCCCCGCACCCCCGCCTCCCCTGCCTCCGCCACCGCCGACGCATCTGCATGCGTGGAAAGGGAGAAGGGGGAGCGGAGGAGGGAGGGAAGGAGGAGGGAAGGGCAGACGGGAGGTGTTGGGTGAGTGACGTGCACAGAGGTAATACAAGCGGATGCGCTTGGTCCAAGGTGAGATACGAAGGGCAGTCAAAGAAAGGAAGGGAAAGAGCGGACTGCATCAGAGTAGACAGAGGGGAACGGGAACCGGCAAGCATGAGGGGGGTGCGTGCAGCAGCAACAGCAGCAGGAGCAGGAGCAGGAGGCACGGACCTGCAGAGGCATCCACACTCTTCTTCCGGTACTTGTCCAGCGCCCCACTGCTTCTGCTGCCCCGTGACTTGCTGCGCTTCCTGCTGCCCCGGCTGTGCTTCTTCTCGTCCATCATCTCCCCCGTGCGCGCCATGTGCCTCGCCTGCAGCTGCTCCTCCGACACCACCTGCTGCTCTGCCGCATACGCTGTTATGGCAGGGTGGAAGGGAGAGGGGGCGATGGGGATGGGAATGGGGAGAGGAGGGGGGTTGAGAGTAGGGGCGTGGTTGTTGAAGGACGGGTGGACTGGCCGCGGAAGAAAGGAGATGGAGAAAAAGGTACGAGTGGGGGATAGGAAACGAAGGGATGTTCACTTAATGAACAGGACGAATGGGGAATTAGGGCAGAATGGAATTGCAGGTAATCAGAAACCAGGGGGAGGCAGGAGGGATGGTCGGAAGTTGGAGAGGGGAGCAATCGGATGGTCGAAACAAGAGAGGTGCGAGGTGAACAAGCGAGAGAGGACGGGAGGAGCGTGGGCAGTTGGGCGCGTACGATTGAGGAAGGTGAGGGCGAGGATGGTGAGGGTGTTGAAAACCAGAATGAACCCCACAAAGGCCCCGATGCCAATCCACCGCCAGCTGTCCTCCGTGGGCAGGGAGCGAGACGTGAGCACTATGTCGCCCATGGTCATGTTGCTGCCTGGCACGGGCTGTGGTGGGGGACGCACAGCACAGGAGCACACGCACGACCGGCAGCACACAGACAAGAGGACAGAGCATGTGGAGGGGAGAAGCTTGAGACGTCTCCAATCAAGGAGGCATGATGACAATTTAGCTCTTGGATGGACCATTCCTGCAACTCCCTATCCCTCTTTCACTCGCAATGCATGCAAGCGCCTCTACAACATTCCCCTTCCCCCACGCAGAGCGCACGCACCACTTGCCACCGGGGCGCCTTGAACTCGTTGACTGCGAGGGCGTTCTGCGCATAGGCGAGTGGTGACATCCAGTACGCCCAGATCCACCACGGGGGGATGTTCTCTGCCCACAGCAGCACAGCAGGGGGGGACAGAGGGGGATCGGCCTGCGGGAAAATGAGAAACGGAGATGAGGATCACAGCGCTGCGCTTCGTACTGCACGTGCAGACCTGTTGATCAAAGGCAGATCCATAGGTCATGCAGTGTAACAGTGAGCGTCGCATTGGCTCGTGCTGGGGCCAGCATGGAGGGCAGTGGGCACAGAGAGAGATACACGTTTCGAGAGCAGGCGGACAAGCAGGCAACATGCAGAGCAGCAATGGGCAAGCGGGGCGTGAGGTTTAGGCTGAGAGGGCGGCAATCACCTTTGGCAATGACGAAGCCTCCGAGGAGGAAGAGGACGATGAGGGCGAAGGTGCCAAAGGTGTTGGCGACACCGCGACTGCGCCCCACACTGGCGACGAAGCGGAAGAGCGACATGCCCACCTGGTGAATGAGGAACCACATCAGCATCTGCGCGAAGAACCTGCGGCACAAGCGGTGATGGGCGGGAAACCACAAGAGACGTTATGCCTCCGTGCAGGGTTGAAATGATCAGAATCACCAGGTCACCACCACCGAAAGCAGCACTTGAGCACAGGACACAAGCATGGGACAGCATGGCACGCAATGGCGTGGCAGCAGAGCAGCAGTGCAGCAGTGCATGCGTAGCGTACCGGTCGGCGTTGGGAGCGAAGCCAACGAGGAAGTAGACAATGGAGGTCCATGCGACAGCAAGCGCGGCGGAGTAGGGGATGCAGATGAGCGCCATGGGGATGGCGTACGACCATGCGGGGTACAGCAGTGCGTCGCGCTCGCGGTAGAAGATGGGCAGGCGCTCTATGAGGATGGGCGTCTCCGAGCCACCGTTGAAGAGCATCACGATGAGCCCAAAGAAAATGGCTCCCAGGTATATCTGCCCGCCCGCCACCGTCACGTTCATCTCAGGGAAGAGGAACACTGTGGACGTCACTAGTGCCATCAGGATGATCTGATGGTTGTAGAGGGACGGCGGGAGGGAGGGAGTGGAGGGAGTGAGGCTGGGGTGACGCGGAACTTGTGGCGGTGGTGGCGTTGGAAGCAGCAGTTGAGTGCGGTGGGGAGCGGTGTGCACGGACCTTGGCGATGGAGGCAAAGTAGATGAAGGAGGTGCGTTTGAAGAGCAGCAGCTGGCGCTGCACCATGGCGTCAAAGATCTCCCGCGCCGTCAGCACGTACTGCCGGTGCTCCAGCGCTCCCTTGGGACTGCTCTCCTTGGGGAACGGCGTCTGGTGGGCAGGGGGTGGGCAGGGAGGACGAGAGGGGGCAAGGGGAGGTGTTGTTAACATTCTTGTGTTCTGTGGCTGTGTCTCGACTAGCCTCACAGAAAGCAGCACCAGTGCTGATCTAACGACTTGGCAGTACGACAGCAACAACGGGGAGTGCAAGGGAGGCACTGGGGCACCGGTGAGTGCAAGAGCAGCAGCAAATCACTTCCGTGCTAAGAAGAGCGTGGAAGGTGCAGGTGGGGGCGAGCAGCAACGTACGGAGAGTTGAGCCTGCTGCTCCTTGGCGCGCTGTGTGTCACTGAAGGCGGCAGCGAGCGCCTGAGCAGGGATGAAGCGGTGCGGCTGCTCTGTGTTGGCCCAGTACTGCCCCTGGTCCTTCACTGATAGCACCTCCTGCAGGAAGTCAGCCTCGGCCTTCCTTGGCGGGCACTGGAAGCCGAGCGAGTTGAAGAAGGGCAGAACGTCCTCGCGCGGGCCGTGGAAGATCACGTGGCCCTCGGCCAGCAGCAGCACGTCGTCAAACAGCTCGTACGTCTCGGGGGCGGGCTGGAGAAGGGCGACGAGCGTGGTGGCGCGGTGCAGGTGCGAGATGTGGCGCAGGCAGCGCGTGATGAGGAAGGTGGTGGAGGAGTCGAGGCCCGTGGAGATCTCGTCCATCAGCAGCACCTGCTTCGCTGACACCAACGCCTCGCCTGGTGCCACGCATGCGGCGAGCAGGGGAGAGGCGGGGAGAGTGAGGGAAGAGCGAGGGTTGGTGGGTTTGGGGCCAGAGGGTAGGTGCTAAGGGAGTGGGATCATGGGTCGTGTAGCTGGAACTGCATTGGCCACAGCACGACACAGTGCTGCATGGTACAGCAGAGTGAGGGTGAGCTTACCAGTGGCGACTCGCTTCTTCTGCCCGCCAGAGATGCCACGCCTTAGTGCACTGCCCACAACCGTGTCCGCACACACGTCCAACCCCAGAATCTGATTGAACCACACGCCCACGCACACGCACAAGGGGAGAGGGTGCGGTCGTGGGTTGAAGGAGGCACGTGAGAGAGGGAGGGTGGAAGATTGGTTGGGCGGAGAAACTTGGAAAAGTAAGCGGCATACACAACACAAGGAACATGTAATAGCAGGCGAGGGCGAGAGAGTGGAAGGGGGGACGAGGGACTGGCTGGGAGGTGGGAGCAGGAAGAACAACAAGAACATCAACAGTGGTTTGGGTGCCTGGCATGAGCCAGTTCAACCATGGCTCGTGAGTATTTTGTGAAAACCCTTGTACCATATGGTATCAAATTCTGCGCTCTCCACTTTCACGTTTCCCCATCTTCCCATAAGTTGATAATCTCCCCCCTCCACCCTCCTCCCCTCACCCCACACCCCACACCGTCCACCCTGCACCAAGCACTCTGCACCCCCCACCGTCCACCCTCCCATTCTCCACGTGCAGCGGCACTCACATGGACGATGTAGTCCGTGAGCACGCTCGTAGGACTGCCCTCCAATGCCATCGCCTGCTTGCCACCATGCCCATGCGATGAGGAGGATGGGCGCAAGGAAGAGAGAATCGAAAGAAGCAGACAGGGAGCAGAGTGCAATGGAAAACAGAGGGGAAAGGGGACGGAAAAAGAGGGTAAATCGACACGAAACGGGAGCAGGTGGGAGAAGACGAAAAGGACCGTGAAGGGGCTTTGAAGGGGGAAAAAAAAATGGAACTTGGCAGATTGGAGAAGTGAAATGAGGGGGAACGCGGCAACTGACCCTCATCATCTGTTGCATGATGGGATCCGGTGTTACGCCTGCCTCTTTCTCCTTCTCCTCCACTTCCGTCACAAGCTCTGCGCACAAAAAGCACGAGAATATACATCAGATACACATGCACCACGAACACAGCACAGGCATACGTGTAAAGAGCCATGCAAAGTACGGGTGCGTGGTTGGGAACCATCAGCTGAGCACATGGCCCAGTAGACCACCACCGCACATGCCGTCACCGTGCATCTCTCACCACCGCCGATCCCGCCCACACAACACCGTGTGCCTCTCAACCTCGGTCCAGCCCCCCACCACCACGGCTCTCACCCTTGCGGTACGCGGGCCCCTGCATGCGCGCCGCGAAGTCGAAGGTCTCCCTGACGGTCATCTCGCCGATGTGCGCCTGCGTCTGCGGCACGTACGCGGCCGTGTGTGGCAGATAGAACTCCCCCGGCTCATGCCCGTTGTACGTCACTGTTCCCGACGCCTGCCTCGCATAGGGGGGGGAGGTGATGTCGGGCGGCGAGGCAGAGAGGCCACACACACGGATTGGAGTGGAGAGGAGAACGATCGAAAGAGGAGGAACGAGTGACAGGTGACGTGAGGTAAGGGGATGTGAGAGGACGCGACAGATGAGAGGATCATGATGAGAGGTCGCTGTGGAGGAGTGGAGGAGATCACGTGAAACAAAGGCGAGGAACTGTGTGCGCAGGTATGCGAGAAGACGGAAGAGAGTGTCATGAGGGTGAGGAGCAAGCGCAGCGGCGTGTCACCTTCACATCCTTGGGCAGCAACCCAGCGAGCGCCTGCAGGAGAGTGCTCTTTCCAGCTCCCGGCGGGCCAAGCAGCAGAGTCAGCCTGTACACGTTTTGGAAAACGAGGAACAGGAGCGCGTTCAATGAGGGGGAGACTGAGAAGGATGAGCAGGTAAAACGGAGCGCGGTGACACCAAGGCATCGTGTGCGGCTGTGCTGCATGCTATGCGTAAAATTTAAGGCACCTGAGCTCGCAGCAGTCTCACTCAAGGTGCACGATGCTCAGCTCTTAAAGATTCGTACCGGCCTGGTTTGAGGATGCCTGAGCAGCCGTTGAGAATGGGAAGGCGCTGGCGCGAGTCTCGCAGTAGATGCAGTGTGCGGGGCAGTTGCTGAGGTCAGGCGCACAAGATGCGGCCACGATGAGAGAGGGGAGAAGTGGAGAAGAGGAGAAAAGGGAAAGGAGGGAAGCGAGAAGGAAGAACGTTGTAATGAATTGAATGGCGGTGTTGCGGATGGGTGGCCTAAGTGAATGCCTAAGACGAAGGAGAAAAGGACGCTAAGTAAAATGGCTTCGCAGTCATTGAGATTAACCACTGTGCATAAGGGATGGGTGGGGAAGGGGTAGAGCGTGAGGTGCCTGCAAGAATGGCCAAGAAGATGTGTTTGATGCGAGAACAGCTACGAGAGGCAACGTGATGACTCGGAAGGAGGGAGTGAGGGAAGCAGGGACTCACGGAGAGCACGTCGCGCATGTAGTTAGGGAGGGTGGGCACGGATCGGTCGCCCACGTACACGCCCGCCTCCACGTGGATGTCCTCGAAGCGCACCTCCACCGTTGGAATCGCGACGCCCACCCTGCGAACAAGATCGCGCATGCCACGTGGCAACCATGGCAATGAGCAGAAACGGGGGAGATAACCGGAACAACTTGAGATTCCAAACCGCGTGGCACTCAATGGGAACCACGCGGAAGCCGAGTGTGTTCAGAACGAGTGAGTAGCTTCTAATGACGAACGTGTGAGCAGTTTCTTGGAGGCCATGTGAATGTGAACTTCAATGACTGAACGATCCACATCTCGTGTTGTTTCTGCCGTGCGACGCACCTCTCGAGTCTAGCGGCGAAGTTGGAGAGGAAACCTTCATTGTCTTGGTCGAGCGTGTTTAACGCGTGCTCTACCAGAGCCTTGCGCTGCGCGTGAGTCAACTTCGCCACGTCAGCAGTCTCCAGCACCTCCTCTAAAAGCAAGTGACCGTTAGAGCCATGATGTTTCTCCGAAACACTCCCGTTTCCCTTAGAAAACGCGTCGTTCTCGCCATTTTCAGCGTCCTTTCCGTTGGTCCCAATCGCACTACCGTTCGTCGGCTGATGCCTCACGTCGCTCGGATGTTCGCTTGCATGACCTGCCGCGACTGGAGAAAAAAAGAGCCGTAGGGATACAACGAAGATAGAGGAGGCTGACTACGACGTAGAAAGGTATGCAACGAATAGCAGGCCAGAGGAAGTTCTGAAAGGCCTAGGAACAACGAATGTGAGCCGAAACAGCAACCTGTAGCTTACCTGGTAAGTCGCCTGGCATGGCGTCTAACTAGGAGTCCGCAAAACTCAACACCTTGAAAGTCGGTTGGATTTTCTGAGCAAGTGTCCGAACTCAGAATAAGGCATCGAAGCATAGCTATAAGCTAAAGCTGAGATGCTGGTCGCTTTTCTATTCTCGTTTCGCAATCAAGGCCACCACCCACTCACCTTGATGGAACAGGAAGCATCCAATTCAAAGTCGCTGACGTCATGGCAGATGAAACATCGAGAGCGTCCTCTTTATTTTCTAGAGTCATCAATGAATCCTGGTGAAAAATACCCGTGTAGGCTTTTTTTTGGTAGGACACTCTCCTGGCACTCGTCCTCTCAAACGCAAAAGAAAAGTAAAACAGTTAGTGGATTAAAAAAATGTCTTGCTAAGCTAGATGGTCAAATCTGTATGAATTATGAAATACCAGAAGATGGAAAGAATCATATAAAAATATGTAGTTTTCGCTCATTATAATTTATATAGTAGATTGCTGTTTTATTTATTATTGAAAATATACATTTATCAGCTTGATATGAGCCAGTATTATTTTGAATTGCAAATCTCATGTCAATTGTCACAAATATTAGATTACCGTTTAAATAGCACACATGGTCATAAACGTAGAACATCGATGGCACTGTTCCCGCAACCAGCCTCGGAAGCAACAAACAGCTTGTCCGATTTGGTTGGCGTTGCATGTATTTACCCTCATTTTGCTTCAGATTGCCGCACATATGAGCATCATGCGCCAGGTCAGCACTAACGAGGGCGAGGCGTGTGTTTGGGATGTGTGTTTGGTTGTCGATGCGCTGGCATCGATACTTCCTGCAAGTGGCATAAACTTGCATCTGCTCCTTGCACCCAAGACGAAACCTCATAAATCTTTCGGGAAGCTGCATAGGCGATCACGATCGTCATGCAGGGTGTTGCTGATGATTCAGTGGTTACACTCACTTTGACAGAATCGCGTTAGAAGCTTTCCTAGTAATCTCAACATGCTTTAAACCTCAATCTTATGATTAACCATGCAAATTCTCCATTCACAATTACATTATGATTTACTTTCCTTTGGGTATTCTCAATTTCAATATCAGTTCTTACACAAAATTAAAATCACCGCATTATTTCTTACATCAATAATGATATGATTAAGAATATATAGTGCGTTTACAATTGTATCATTTTTTTGATATAATCCTGAATAATATAATAAGCGCACATATACACTTTGTTACGAATAGTGAAATGAGAATTGTGCACTCCTAACTGCAGCAGTGAAACACGCAATGTCGATGATGAACACGAATAGTCAGAGTTGACTCGATTCGTTGCAAACAGTTGTAGTGGAGTGGATCTGGACCGTCGGAGCAGACGGCACTGGGCAGCTGCAACAGCGAGGGTATTGTTAAGAATGAGAAGTGGTTGCACTAGGAAAAGTGTGGGGTACAAGTAGAAAACCTAAAGTTATCATACCCCACAGTATCTACCCCACTACAGCCTACACAAAGTGTAGCAGATATAACATTTGACAGGTATTGGCGGGAACAGTTTCGTAACTGTACGCGCCGCACGGTTGGGTTTAAGTTTGAATAAGGGAATGTACCCCTTAGAGCACATGGCTAGCTAGGTCCTTTTGTATTCCTCTATACTCATATTTTTATGCAAGTACTTGCTTGTTTTAATCATCTCAAACATTTTACATTCACTCTGTTTTGAGGTCAAGGGCCCACCACCACCAATCAACTGTGTGCGAACCTTCCAGAGGTGATCCTAGGGTCGATCAACTTCTGATTGCAGCATAGTATCAGAGCGACTCGGGAATCCTTTGCATTGCTACCTCCCAAATTTTCGGCGAACGAAAAGTGGCGTCCGGCACACGATCGCGTGTAAGGATGGCCGGAGGATTTGGTGGTCAGACGAACCTGACCGCTGTAGCGCAGTCCAACCCGGATGCGACAAACGAAGAAACGATGATGATTGGAATTATCGTCCTCACATAACTGCTTCAGCAACTCACCTGCCTGGAGCAAGGACTGTGAAGAATGAGGAATGAATGAACTAGGAAAGAGGTGGGTACAAGTAGGAAAACCTAGAAATGTTGTACCCCATATTGTCTACCCCACTACAGCCTACACAGACTATAGCATATGAGTTTGACACACCCCCATAGGCAAAGTGGGGGAGAACAAGAGGTCACAAGACCAGTCAAGCAAAGCAAAGCAAGCTCAGGGCGGATCACAACGTCACCACACAATCCGAGCACAAGAGCAAGGCCAAAAGGCCAGTTCACAAGCAAGATCATATATAAAGGTAAACAAGCAAGTGCAGGTATAGAAAGATCACAGTACAAGCAAGGTCAAGAAGTGAGCAAGTGAGGCCAAGTAGGCACAAGACCTAGCATCGTACAGAAGCGCTGATGATCACAAGGCTTAAGTGCCTTGGTAAAGATATCAGCAGTGTTGGCCTCAGAGGCCACGTAAGCAAGGCGCAGCTGACCACGCTGCTGCAGCTCACGAGCAAGGAAGTAGCGGAGAGCAATGTGCTTCGTTCTGTGCTCCAGTCTGTGCTCCCGACACAAGGCCAGCATGGCCTTGTTGTCTACGTACAGAACTGGAGGAGAACGAGGCGGCTCTCCTAGGTCAAGCAGCAGGTAGGTGAGCCAGCGTAGCTCCTGTGCAGCCATGGCCCCCGCGTAGATCTCAGCCTCACAGCTGGAGCCGAGAACAGAAGAAGAGCAGGGTAGACCGCCACGAAACAGAGCCGGAGCCAAGGCTGAAGGTGTAACCCTGTGACGATCGCTGCGTAGCTTGGTCGTCAGCCCAAGAAGCGTCTGCGTGATCTGTGAGGACCACTCGACGTCGCCCTCCAAGCACTAGCCCCATGCCCGACGTACTGCACAAGTAGCGCAACACCCTCTTCGCTGCAGCCATGTGCTCTGGTCGGTGTCTTCCAGGAGCAACATAGCGTGCCAAGATGCTAAGAGGGTATGCAAGGTCAGGTCGTGTGCAGGTCATCAGGTACATGAGGCAGCCAACAAGCTCTGGGTACATGCCACTCGGCTCTACGGACTCATCCAAAGGCAGAGCTGAGAGCGAGTGGCGAGTAGACACAGGAGTGGCCTGATGCGAGGAGTACGTGAAGTCGAAGCGCTGAAGGACCTGCTGCACCATGTGTGACTGAGTCAGGGTAATGGTGCGCTGTGCTCTGTCCCGGGTGATCTGCAAGCCAAGGTAGCTGCGCAGTTCACCCAGGTCTGTGCACGTGTGTCTCTTCTGCAGCTCGGACTTCACGTGGGCGAGTCCAGCAGTGTCAGCAGTGGCAAATACCAAGTCGTCAACGTACACGAGGATGTAGAACGGCGGCAAAGAGGTGTCGGTGCGCAGAAACAGCGACGGGTCGGCAGTAGAAGGAGCAAAACCCAAGAGCCGCAAGTGTAGTCCTCAGTATGTCGTGCCGCTCACGGGGCGCCTGGCGGAGACCGTAGGCTGGCCGCCGGAGGCTCCACTGGGTACCAGGAGGAAACGACCCAGTGAAGCCAGGTGGGCGGCGCAGCCAGATCTCCTCGTGCAGGCTGCCCTGCAGGAAAGCTGTGCTGAAGTCAAGAGAGTGAAGCTTGTAGTCGCGCTGAGCGGCTATGTGCAGCAGCACCCGAAGAGTGGTCATCTTCTGGGTGGGAGAGAAGGTTTGAAAGTAGTCAACTCCCTGCCGCTGACTGAAGCCTCGAGCCACGTAACGCACCTTGAAGACAGGCGGAGAACCCGGCGGCCGCTTCACCCTAAAAATCCACATGCCACTGACGATGTTCGCCCCAGGTGGGGGAACCTCGTCGACGTAGGCGCCTGTCGACTTCCAGGAAGCCATCTCTGCGTCTATGGCTGACTACCACTTAAAGGAGTAGGGACCCTCGATCGCCTCAGTGTACGATCGAGGAGTCGGGATGTTTGGTGCATCCGGGTCTCCCTTAGGGGCAATCAGCGTGGACACGAGATGAGGCAAAGCAGCAGCAAAACAATTGAACTCCTCCTGCCTGTCCTCAAGGACGTCCGTGCTAAGAGCACACTCACCCCCAACGGACGGAGGACAGACAGACTCAGACTCAGCGAAAAGACTAGCAGCGTAGTCTAGACGACAGCGAGCAGCAAAGTCGACAAGCTCAGCAATTAGGGCCGACGCATCAGTGGACTCAAAGGAAGGGTCAGTGACAACAGTGGCCAGGAGACGCGTGACAGTAGGACTGGCAGCACGAAGAGAGTCAGACTCCAGGTCAGCAAGAACAGGAAGAGAGGACTCTGGAGGAGACGGCAACGGGACACGCAGAGGAGCAGTGGAAGGACGCAGTGCCATCTGGTGTGTGCCTGGGACCGTAGGAGGACGCGGACGCGGAACACGACTACTAGTGCGACCAGCACGAACAGGCGACGCAGGACGAGACGCAGGCTCACGACGCTCAGCAAGACCTTCAGTAGGACCAGTGTAGGGAGAAGGAGCAGGTAGGGGGGAGGCGGGCTGTAACTGTGACCGCGACTGGACAGGCTGTGGACACTCTAAGGAAGGAGCAGGACCAGTAGAGGGCGGGAGACTAAGAACCTGCTCAAGGAGCGGAACGAAGTACAGCCTCGGCCGTGCAGCACCTCCAGAACCAGCAGGGACAGCACCAGTACCCCCAGCGGGAGCACCAACGCCAGCAGCACCTCCAGCTCCAAGAGCGCCAACTCCAGCACCCTCAGACGCACCAGCGCCAGCAGAAACACCAGAGTCAACACCCCCAGAAGCTCCAGCAGCACCAACTCCAGAAGGACGGGCAGCTCCAGTACCTCGAGCAGGACTAACTCCAACAGCCCCAGCAGCAGCCCCAGCCCCTGTAGCTCCAGTACCGCCAGTACGAGCACCTCCGGGACCAGCAGCAACAGTAGTACCTCCGGCTCCAGCAGCACGGCTCTAGCGTCGGGCAAACCACTTGCGCAGCTCCTGCGGAGAGAGTGGCTCCTGCCTCGACGAAGCACCGCGAG